CCCCACCGCCGCCGCCACAACCCACACCCCTCCTCAAAACACACACAGTCCTCAGCAACCTTGTTCTCCGCAGGCTCCCGGGGGAGACGGATTCGGACTCAGTGCGACTCTCATAGAAGTCTTGCTATTGCCAAGACAAGACGCAGCCTATTTAAGACAATCACATGATTTCAGTGGGAGTCAAAATGATCCGCGGGGGTCACTGTGTAGAGAGAGAGAGAGCAACGTTGAATAGTGGTCGGATTGTCTGAGTGGAAAAAAGGAAAATGAGTTGCCGGGAGAGAGGACTTGAGTTCAAGCGATGTGTCGCGTCGGGATACTGCGCTGGGAAATAAATGGAAACCAAAGTGGCCCAAGTGAAGAAGAAGCCTGCATCTGAAACTCGTTGAGTCTTCATTCACCGCAAGTGCTGCACAACTGCTGCTGCTGTCGGACTGCTTTACTGAAGGTCTTTTGGCTGCTGGCAAAAGTGGCCGTGTGATTTAGGCTTCAACTTTAAACGGTGACCCGCAGAGATGGCTCTCTCGCGGATTGGCGCGGGGTGGAGAAACGGCACGCGGCTCCTTTTCCATCTCTTTTGCGTTTTCACACTGAGCACAGTAAGTCACCCGCATTGTCTCTCCCTGCCGCGCCTGTACGCACATGCATGCAGAGCTCAAGTTGTCAACACTTCAAATGACAAAAGCCCCCGTGTTATTTCCCGTGATATTGTGCAGGATACACAAACCAAGTCATATCTACACTTTCTTCCTTACAGAGCGTGCTTCTGGATAATGGTGCTGACAGAGCTCAATCTCATCAAGAAGCATCGGCCCTGCTCCGATCTCTCAATTTACCTCAACACACAGGTAGGCTGAGTTAGGTGCTGAACAAAAGCTCTTGCCGATTTCAGATCAGTTATTTCTGCAACTGTGTTGACATTTTTCGTGTATGGGAGAGTGCATTATGATTTGCCGGTTCATGCTGGCTTTTTGGTACAATAAGATTAAAAATAAGCACTCTATCCCTCAAACGGCAAGCGGCATCAAGCAGCGCTCACCTGCGCTCTGCGATGCCTCTCTTCACCGCTGGGGGGCGCCCTGCACCCTGACACAGAGCCATCAGTGTCTGCTGCAGGCAGCAGTAGAGCTCAAATTAAGGGACAGTTTACTTTTTCAATAGAGCAATTTCAGTGACTTTAAAGATTTGATTTGTGGAACCCTTGAACAATAAGCAGTTTATAGAAAATTATCCCTATGAGACATAATATAATTGCTGAATAGCTCAAAGAGAATGACTGCTTTATATATTGGACTTGGAATTTTTTGTAACTGGGGAGTCACCATAGCCTTCAATAAAGATGCACTGATGCTTGTTATAGCTGCGTTGTCAATACTGTAATTAGTGCAAGCAGTATGCACAAGACTTTCATCTGTTCTTTGTTTTGTGGCTCTAACCCCATATGGTGTGCTGAGTCAGCAACTGCTTTGGCTGTGCATTCTCCCTCAGATCCTTTTTTTTTTAGTTACCATGAAAAGCCAACATGTAAACAAATAAACAAACATCAAAACTCCTCTCTCTGGTGCACATGTGGAGATGATCCGAAACAGAAGTGAGGGGAACCCCTTACTTCTGTTTCACATCATCTCACAGCCAGTGCTTCAACAACTAGTGTTAATGTGTTTAACATTCATACGGCTATATTAGAGTGGGTGAGGAGAGGTTTCACATGTGCACAATCTTTTGTTAAGTTTAAGCCAAGGCATGCATTGGTTAGACCCCTTATCAGTACTAATGGCACTCAGGAGCCACTAAACCAACAAACTACCCACCGCAGAATCTTGTCTCAGTCCATCAGACAAGATATATGTGTGTGTGTGTGTGCACTCTGTTCCCGCAGACTCTTGTTTGTATACTGTCAGTCATGGGTCACTGCAGCTGGTTTTTGAGTTAGGGCGGAACAAACACAGTTGACTAGGTGTAACTGTGTGTGTGTGGGGGAGCACAGAAAAGGCTTGAGACTTAATGTGTTTGCTCTTTGCAGTCCTGTAACTCTCTGGCTCCGGCTGTAACACTTCAAGTGTCAGAGGTTTGCTTTCCATATGCAGCCGTGGTAATGCAAGGTGCTTTAAATAAATGCATCCACTAATAAGTATATGTCATGTTGTGGGTAGGGGCTGTTAGTGTTAGTCAGCTTCAAGATGCACCAAATAGCCAAGTTCAACCTCAGGCATTCACACTGCCAGTGATGACACACTGTCTGTCACCCTGCATGTTTCTCCCACTGCCAAAATATGTCTGTCTCTGTGCTATATTTACTCATTATTCGGGCTTGCTAAAGCAGGTCCTACTGTATAGTAACAGAGACTGGCTCTCATTGACTGTAAGTCCAAGGTTGCTGTTATTTTTGTGCACTTTAAGCTGATAAAGTGACCACGTATCAGTTTCCCATGGAAAGACTCAACACATTTGCAATGGCTATTACAACACTGTAACAAAACCAACAATGACACAGTTTTATTTGTTTGCTTGGTGGTTACTCATAGACCCAAAGTGTATCAAGTGCATAATATTTCAAGGTGTGTGATGGCCTGCGGTACCAGGCTCCCTCTATTACCACAAGATCCCTCCACAGTAGCAAAACCTACTGTGAAATTCTACATAATGTTACTAACAGGATATGTTAAACAGAAACTAATTCACTATTTTAATTAGCATTTTATAAAAAAAGTGTGCATGCAAGAGGCATGATCTCCAAAGCCCTGCAATGTATGCAAAGCATTAAAGACAATGACACATGCTTAATTCCTTATAAGATGCTCGCCTTTTCTAGATCAGCCCATTCTTACTTAGAGGATGGACACGAGCGGTGTCTACTGTCATGATTTCCTGTTGAAAACCAATTTGAGTGCAGCTCAAGGGGTCAGCTACTCTTTTGATTTGGCCTTTGGAGTAAAGCCTGTGCCACAGTGCCATTAGACATTTAACTGATCTAAGCAGCCAGGCCTGTGACCTGCCACCATCTCCCTTTATGACCTGCAGTTATCCAGCTTGAGCTGTAGTAAAAACTGTAGTAAAACACTAGGTCAAACATGATTCACTCTCCGCTAAAGGGTCTGTGTTGGAATTGTCTAAAACCCTTCCTTTTCTTGTAACTCTTTCTTGACCCTGCCAGCAAAAGTATATGAGGCAGGTCAAGGAAAATTTACAAAGCAAGGAAAAAGGTTGTAGTTGTTATCCAGTCTGTGAGGCCACCAAGAAAGCAGCTGACACAGAACGCATTACATCAGAGTAAATGCTGTTGACAGACCAAATTAGTAAGGACTGACCACGATGACCTCAAGGACAATGTGTTTTATTTTGCCAAGTTGCAAGTTTCTACAAAATATAGTCCATGATGCTAGCAGCTCTCATCTCTCCCACTGTGACTCCTTATCCCATATCTGTATTTATTTCATATATCTACAGATTTCTCTCTATATCTGTTGTAATTGCATTTATATTGAATGTTGCACTTGGCATTTGACGGTTTGCAAACACGCAATAAGCTCCTAATTACCTATTTTTCTCTCGTCTTCCCTTCCTTTATCTCTCATCCAGAATATGAGATTGTATCTCCCTATGAAGTCAGCCACCAAGGTGTTTACATCTCTCATGAAGTGGCCCACCACCAGCGCAGACGGCAACGCAGATCCTTGACCCCAGATACAGGTTCATCAAACACTGACAGCAGAGAAACGGTCCACTTCCGGCTTAGTGGCTTGGGGCAGGACTTCCATATGGAGCTGAGGGAGGCCTCTGAGAACCTGATTGCACCTGGCTTCACCATCCAGGTCCTGGGAAAGAATGGCACCAAGAGCCTGAGGGCCTACCACCAGGACGACCTCTGCTTTTACCAGGGTTCGCTGAGGTCAAGGGTTAACTCCTCTGTGGCACTGTCCACATGCATGGGGATGGTGAGTCTGAACATGCACAGAGTCGGGTTGCGGGTTGGATAAGAAGGAAAGGAAAGGAGTAGAGGAGTTGGAGTTGGGTTGGTGTGTATTTGCATCAGTGACTAGGACTCCAGGGTCAGTTAATTCAAAAGTATGCATTTTGGATTGTATTTTGTTTTAATTTTGGCAGCATGTCCATTGATCTACCAAGTGAGTACTATAATTGCACTCACTTACCGAGAAGAATTATTGAGCCTGGGAGCCAAATGTAAGAAAATGAGGCTCATCCTGTGACCCCATATAATATAAACATAGCATTAGTGTTCTTGTCATGCTGAATCCGAGGCAAAGAGAGGTCCATTACCCATTTGGGATTTCAACTCAAAGTTTAGAAAAGCAAAAGACGCGGGGTAAAGTAAATGACTGAAATCATAAATACTGGACATACTGGAATATTAGACAAATTACAAATGCCAACCAGATACTGAGCTAAAGGAAGAGTGAGAGGGGAAATAAGTATCAAAGGAGGAGAAAAATCTGATTACAGCCAGCCAGTAAATCTAGATAAAACCACATTTTTACAATGAAAGGCACTGTCTTTTTCTTTGACACGTACACAGTCATCAAGCAGTCCTTCTGGTATGCTACTGTGTAGTTTCCTTTCACACAGCACTTAAGTGAGTGGATTGTCTGTCTGGTCTGGTCAGACTTGTACTTGACTTTAGTTGACTTAAACCCACTGGCTAAATTGGCAAGAAATGCACAGAAGTTTCTTCCTTCAGTCTGCTGTGCATCATTAGTTTTTAGCTCATTCCGTGCATATTGCACTTTTGCCTAAATCAGCTAATGAATAACTAATGAATGGAAAAGTCAAGTCTGTGAACACCACAGAATGTTTGGTCAGTTAGCCAGGAAAGTCCACAAAACACATGCACGCCAAAACAATGTTTTGGTGGTATTTCATCTTCTTATTTAGCACAAAGTATACTGTTTGACCAGCTTTCATGGTCAACACATGAAGTACTGTTCACAGATTTAAAAAAAATATTTAATATATCTTAACCCTGACATCCTTTTTCATGAAATGTATAAGGTTCTTAACTCACAAGCAATTAGATCTTTGCAGATCTCAGCTGGCACCATGAGTAGGGAACTGACTTTGTGCAAATAGCAAAATATAGAAAATTTAATTGAAGTGAATTGTCTTATAAGGAAGGGCGGAGTACAACTGGGTAGCAAGCTAACTTGTAAGTAATGCTCATATTAGCATGATATACAACATACTAAAAACTACACAGCTAATAAGAGGATGTCTAAATCCAAAACTGAGCAGATTTATTGGCATTGAAATGATCAGTTAGTAACAGAAATACATGGTTGTTTTTGTGTTGGTTGGGTTGAAGTGTGTGAACCAAAGACTAGCTCTGAATTTGTTCTGGTGGTGTTTGGGGGATAATTTTTGTTTTGTTTTTACCTCTTTTCAATATATATATCCAACTTGGACCAGATAAAACTCATTATTATAAGATATAACCTAATATTGCTAACTGTAATTAGTGCCCCTGTCGTTGGAGAATGTTGGCTGAATTTTAAGTCTTGCCTTGGTGGTCCTCCTCTTCTGCATAAATATAAAGGAAACATTACTGTAAGAATGACATTAAGTAAGCCTAAGTGAGCAGCTCCACCCAGTAAGACCCCAAAGTGTTATACTAGCCTTCTTAGCAGTCTGGGCTAGAGAACAAGGGGCTTTATGAGTACACACTAATCCTCTCAGTCTTGAATTCACATACACACACTCATTAAGAACTCAACAATCACTGGAGACACAGTATGGCAACTGGGCAGTAGGCACGCAGAGAAACTGCGTATGTAATGTGACATATTTACACTTAAATGTGAGTGCAGTCTTTCAGTTCATAGCTTGAAAAAAGACAGTGAGTCTTTAGAGCATTCAAGTGCGTGGTCATATAAGCTTGCATCTAAGGACCACAGCAGGAAAGAAAACTAAATTTAGTCACTCAAATTTGCTGCCTTTTTACAGGTTTAACCAAACAAATTCCTTAAAAATTAATATGACCACATTTTACTTCAGCATGGCTTTTCAGTGTGTTTAATCATAATACATTTCAGGCCTGCCTTTAATGGTTTTCTGTTTATATTTTCATTGTAAAGGACCTCTGCTATGTCTGAGAATTGCCCTCCTAAACTACAGACAGAGAATGGCAAATCTCCAGGGATGCTTCTTCTTCTTCTTCTTCTTCTTCTGTGTGTGTGTGTGTGGTGCAATGAGCAGGAGAAGAGGAAAGACGAGGAAGGAGAGGAGAGGAGAGTTTGTGTGTGTGTTGGTGTGTGTGTTTGTTGTGTGTGTGGTTGTTTGTGGGTGTGTGTGTGTGTGCGTGCATGTCTGCATTTCAGACCAGATCCCAATAAAACATTCAGCCAAAAGGTCCAGGGTTGCAGAGACTGTAAACGTGGTTCTCACGACTGAGGCTGGCTAGGATGGACTGGGTCAGTGCATCAATGAGAAAGTGACTTTTTCTGATGTGAATTAGGGGACTGCAATGCTATATCAGCAGACAACGATATTTAGACTACTTGGGAAAATTAAAAATAATTTTCCAAAAAATGCTAAAATATCTCTTATCATGCACTGAACTGCATATTTTTCCCAATATACATTTTCACAATATGACTTTAACATTGAATATAAGATGTGTTGTGTATGTGTGTGACATGCACTCGTATAAACATAGTATGCTTTGTTTGTGCTCCAGATGTTCCAGATTATGTATGACTGGTCAAAACTTGCTAACAAATTCACTAGGCCAGCTGAGAGCTCATGGGAGACCTTGCACTTTGGTCAGATTTCTATTTGGCAGGAGGCATGTAAATATTGACCAGAGCAACCCAGATCGATAGCTGTATCACTGAGAGCACCTGGCCTCCAGCTGCAGCATGTTACTGCTTATGAGATCATTTCATCACCAGTTTTTGCTCTGTCACTGAAACATTTTATTTGATAAGGCAATTATGTTTTCAGAATTTAATCTGACCTAGATATTGCACATAGACAGCTCATTTCTGTAGAAAACCTTACTACCATGTTTACCATGGCAGCATACAAATACATCAAGGAGAAGAAGTTAGTCAGTGTAATGATGATTTGTCTTTGGCACCATTGTTTGCCATACATTAGCTTTAATTGCATTGGTTGCTGTAAACACTATATGACTTTAGTAGTTTAAAATGGTTCTCATTTGGATTATTTGGTGTAATGATGGAAATCTTTGTAGTCGTCCTTGTTGTAAATGGTGGATTTATAATAGATTTAGAGTGACTTACACAGCCTGTCTCTTAGTGTTTTCTTAGGCTGGCTGATGGATGCAACAAGAAAGATAGAAGAAAGATCAGTGAAAGAGAGAGAAATGTAGAAATGATGGCTATAAGGAGGATCATTGTTCCCTCCTTGGCATTTTGAGGTGCTGAAAACCCCCTTGTAAGGAGTGTTATGTTGTAAAGCTTATGTATAAGTTGCCTTTTCAACTCCCCTCCTCTGGCAGCCCATATAGTGGTTAGTCCTGCTTTGATGACAGTAGGGAGTTCAACCATAAAAATATCATACTTACAAGCAGTAATTGGTGGAATCGAAGAAGCAGGCCAATCCCACTGACTCTGTTCACCTGCCAAATGGTTTGAAAATCTGCACAGTGACACACATGTGGAAGAGGAGATCATAAAGCAGGTCCTTCTCTGGGTGGACTTTATGCTGCAGCATAATCCTCTTTAGTCTGGCTTTTATGGGAGTGAGGGAGTTGAGGGGTGAGTAGAGTGCCATGCAGGCATTGCACTCTGACAACATGAATCCTTATGTTTTCCCCTGTATATGACATCTTGTGTGATTTTTAGCCATGTAGGCAGGATTGGCCAAAACGTTTGTAAATACATTTATTGTCTAGATAGTCAGATCACCGACTTTAGTGATCCTTTTTTTGGTAAACCTTTCATTCAGTGCAGTCACCAGGTCAAGCTTTCAATTTGTCCAATACTTTGCTATAACTAATTACCCATCAGCCTCAGCTGTACTTTGTGTTTAGTGCTTTTCAAGGTTAAGATTATATCTCAACTTCAGCTAACTTCAAGTTAGCATTTAGCTCAAACTGCTGCTGTGCTTAAGTAAAAGCCTCACAGAGTCACTAGAGTGGCTATAGATTCATTGTTTTGTGAACTTAGAGAGCATCTGTCATGCTCCACAAACTGGAAACAGGTACCTGCATGATTCAGTGTTTTGTGTGTACTATATTTTGTTGTGTGTGAACCCCAGAAGAGTAGCTGTTACCTTAGTGCCAGCTATTAGGGAACTAAGAATAAAGTCAGTCAATGTCTAGTCCACATCTAGGACTTTTTTTGTGGATTCCATTAATGTCAAAATAAAATTTCCTCTATAATTATTACATAACCATCCATCACTTTACAAACTAATAAACATTAATAGGGGACACTTCTAGCTTTTGTTTCTGTCTATTGCCTCTTATCCCTGAGCTTCACATTGGCCACACCAGTATCTTGAATCTAATTTCACACAGACTTGTATGCACACATTTCTTTTGTACCAAAGGGAAATGTTAAATGTCCTCCCACTACAAATCACTTGGAGGTCATGTGTTTTCCTCTTGTAAAAGGACGGGTGTGTTTCTTGCCTTGGGCCTTGTAGTAGTACTAATAATAGAATGCTGCACACTCGTCCCACCTCTGGGATTTCCAAGAATATAAGAAGGATAGTCTATTGATGTGATGAAGCTTTGGAAAGCAGGCAGTGTGGTCTTGGCAAGGTACAATAATCAATTTTCAGAACATACAGTCATACATCAATCAAATCATCTAATTGTTAGCCCCCTTGTTTTATCATCTGCTAAGGTTTTGGTCATACGAAGATTAGCATATGTCTCTGAGATTGTAATTAAGTCAGTTTGGAAGATTGGTTGTTTCCAGATTGATAGATCTCCAGTTGGTGTAGTGTGTTC